ATAAATTAGAACTCCTAGTGGCACCTTTCTTATTCACTGATGTCATTTTACCTTTAAGGCATTTGACACATGTTCCAAAATCATTGAAATCGAGAGATGGTAACACTTCATTCTTCACGAGTCTAGATAAACGTTCTCGTGAAATGTGGCCTAAGCGTTGATGCCACAACATGGATGAAGTTTCTAAGTCTCGTTTTCGTTTTCTCTTTGTTAATGTCTGATTAATATTATATGACATCAAAGATTTGGAAAAATCATCATCTAGTTCTAATTTATAGAGACCACCATCCAGAAAACCATGACCAAACACTTGAGAATTGAAACTAATAGTAAGTCTGCCATCAAGGGCGGAGACAGGGGGGCATGCAGGGGCATGTGCCCCCCCGGCGAGGCTCCGGCGAAGTACCACCATGACCCGGCGATGAGTAGACTGCAGCAAAGTGACCCCCCAGCGACCGCCGATGCTCCAAGTCTCCAACACTATATTTCAGTTTCGTCTGCTTTAGATCCAAAAGTTCAGATAAGAGATCGGCGAGGCTTCGTCGCTTCATATGCTCCACTACTCCGTATTATTAAGTAGATGGGAAACGATGTCGTTTAGGCCAATGATTAGAAAATTCATTTAACCCTAGCCACCTTCCCCTTATGCGCACTTTTCCCTTTGGTGTTATCGTAGGATAATTATTTTTGTTTCAAATTAAAAAACTTTAAGCCAAATTCTTTGGTGGACTTTAGGTCCACCATGAACTTATCTACTCCCTCCGTCCCATAAACCATTTCATGTTTCAAAAATGGCACACCTTTAAAATGAGTAATTTTAGTATTATTTGTTAATTATGACTAATCTATTCTACACATCGCATCCTACTCTTTTAAGAAGTAAGGACAAAATAAGAAAATAACACCAAAATTACTCATTTTAAAGGTGTGCCATTTTTGAAACAGGAAATGTTTTATGGGACGGATGGAGTATAAGTAAAACAAGTACGGAGTATTTTCTTATTACTTAAATAGCCATATGTTTTTTATTTTAAAAAAATTATTTTTGGAGAATAAAAAATAAAAAAAATAAAATAAAATTCGGAAGTGCTACCCCTTAATCCTGTCCTCTATGTGGTGCCCCTCCAACAATTACATCCTGCCTCCGCCACTGTCTGCCATGACCATGAGAAACATCAAAACCGTCTATGTCTAACTTTGGTCCTGATACTAAATTCCGAGTAATCTCAGGAATATATAAGGTATCATAAAGTTTAATACATAAACCAGTTTTCATTATTAATTCTAAGGTTCCCACGGCTTCGATAGCTAGTTCTGTTCCATTCCCCAGCTTAAGTGTTCTTCGGTTTCTTTCCAGCTTCTGGATTATAAGGAATCCCTGAAGTGAGTTGGTTACATGAACTATAGAACCAGAGTCAAACCACCATGTATTAGCTGGAACATTTAAATTAAAGGACTCAAGTATCATGTAAAGATGATTACCTTTCTTCGTCAGCCACTCCTTAAAGTCTTAGCAGTCTTTCTGTCTATGTCCTTCCTTGCGGCAGAACTTGCAGTAAGACTTCCCTTTGGAGTTCTTAGAGCTGGAAGAAGCACTTGCATCGCGTTTCTGGACTTTAGAAACTTCCTTCTTATCGACATTGCCCTTCCTCTTCTTTGGATAAGCGGTCATGAGGTAAGCCACATCAGGTTTGTCCAGCTTCAGACGCTCTTCTTCTTGTACGCACATAGCAATCAACTCATTCATCGACCACTTGACCTTCTGGGTGTTGTAGTTGACCTTGAAAGCTTCAAAAGATGCAGGAAGAGAAGTCATTATAAAGTGCACCAGAAAACCTTCACTGATCTCCATGTCTAATCCCTTGAGCTTGCGGGCCATGTCGTTCATCATCATGATGTGCTCACGAATGCCGCTATTCCCGTCATATTTCGTAGTCACCATCTTCAAAATAAGAGTACTCGCATGTGCCTTAGAAGTTGCTTTAAATTGTTCCTCCACAGAAGCCAGATATGTTTTAGCATTAGATGAATCTGGAATAGCTCCCCTGATGATTATGCTGATGGAATTTTTAATGAGCATAAGAGCCATTCTGTTGCACCTCTCCCATCTCTCATGTACTATTTTATCTTCAACAGTACTTTTATCAGTTAGGGCAGGAGGGGCAGGCTCTCTCAGTGCATAATCAAAATCCAACATGCCAAGAGTTAGCATCAGTGAATCTTTCCATGAAGAAAAATTCGCACCGTTCAAGGTTTCAATTCCCATATTTGGGGCTGATAGTGGATTCAGATGAGAGAAATAAGACACATAATTAAAGAAGAACTTAAGGGGTAATGAACTAAGGCTGGCAAAGATAAGGACCATTATATAGTAATGAAGCTGTGATAAGAGTCTATTATAACACCAAAAATAATAGACTAAATTTTATTCTACTTAAACAAATGGCTTTCACTTTGGTTATGACCACTTATTTAAGTATTATGAATAATAAAATAATGATGTGCAATTTGAATGTAACACATCACCTTTGGGCAGAAGTGAAACATTTAAATTTTAATGCACATATATATTTAGTTCGCAGTACACAATTATAACACATCATCTTTGGAAAGAAGTGAAATATTATGTATCTAAGGCAAGTGTCATGCAAATATCTATTTAAGGATATGCACTAAATGACAATGCTTAATAAGACTTGAAATAAATTTTACAAATGTTACACATCACCTTTGGGCAGAAGTGTACTATAAGGTATTATTTAAGTCAAGCAAAATAAATCAATTTAACTAATCATAAAATAAATTTTATTTAAGATTAGTCAAATGATTTATAAATTTAATGTTAATAATTAATTAACCGCAAAAGTTAAAGCGGTTCGGGGCGAGGCTACGAAAAAAAAATTGGGAACCCATTAAGATAAATTTAATCAGAAAATCAAAAGGCATATAAGGCAAGAGATTTTCCAACAAGTAAAATTCTTTAAATTATTTTTATGGTATTTTAGCATATCCCTTAATTAGTTTTGCTATTCTAGGTAAAATAACTTCATAAATAAGAAAATAGAATATATTATGCAAAAGTGAGATATGCCATAAAATTTTAGGAAACAGAATTATGTTCCAAATCAAATACCAAAAAAAAATGATTTCATCAAAGTAAGGATGAACGTAACAATCATGTATAATTTATCAAAATTATACGTACTGACATTCAAAACAATAATTAAAAAAACAGAAGTTGTATGGATTAAATTTGAAGAAACCCGATCTTGATTTTAGAGAATCAAAACATTATTATTGATTTCCAAAACACATAATTTTTTGGGTTTTTTTTTGTTTTGTGCGATGTCAGTAACCAATTATTACAGAGTATAACTAAACGATTTTGCAAAAACATGAAACACCAATCAATCGGAAATCCATTCTTGTTAGGGCAAAACTGACTTCCGATTGCAATTTCAATAATTTAGGGAACAAAGTAGAATTGATTAATCAACACAAAGCTCCGATACCACATGTTGATCAATTCTTAAACCTAAAATATAAATTAGGGATTTAATCATGTGTACCTGATAATCCTGTAAACGCAGTTAGGGATGAGGCCATGATTCTCACACAGATCGAGTTCCCTTTTAGGGTGTATTGTTATGATGGCTAAGGTGAGGGCGAGACTCGCGAGAATAGAGAGGCAGAGAAGAGACGTAATATTGGTGTGTTGATCTGTGCTAAATGACCTCTATATATATACACCCAAGGGGAAACCCTAATTAGGTCATAAGGGTAATTACGTCCATCGAATAATTACCAAATAAATACGTAGGGTATTTTTTAGGTCAATGATCAATTAATTAGATAAATGATAACTCAGGCCACATAATAAAATCGTGTCCAACATTTAAAATAAAGTATCTTTTATTATTTGTGTGCATCTTATATTTAGGAAAGTGTTAAAAAAGCAAGTTTGTGAATTTTGTGAATTGTTTGTTTGTGACTCTAGCATTACTAAAACTTTGTTCTTCTTTAATATCTATCACTCTAAATAGAACTGAAATATAAAAAAATATTAAAATAAAAAATTTATGTTTTTAGACTTTACATTGTGATAATATGGTGATAATGTAGCACCGTACATGTGTACATTACTTTATTTTTTGTAATGTATATGACCATGTTTTGTAATGTAAATGAATTTTAACTCCAATTTCGGGAAATAAAAATATGAAAGTCCTATTTTGATATATTTTCAATATTTTACTCCTACTTTAGTTTTTTTTTGCTATCTTTTGTTAAACCTCTAATGAATTTAAATTAATTTTAAAATTTAAAAATACTAAAACTGAATATTTCCATTCGTTCATTAATAAATCTTTTCAAAAAGATAACTTTAATGTCTGACGTTATAACTAAACAAGTACTTTACCAATTGAGTAAATTCCATAATTGGTCCTTTATAACATGGGGGTTTCCATATTTAGTCCTCTATTATCAAATATTACCCCCATAGTCCTTTTTTTAAGGGTACCTTTCCACAAATGGTCCTTTATTTGATATTCTGCCGTGTTGGTGTTAATTTAAAGGCTAAAAATATAATTTGACGTCAACATTATGTCTAGTGACGTGTTCTGATATTGGTTAAGCGGATAACACAAAAATAATGACTATGATTGTGGGCTAGGATTATGACGAAAGATCACATTTGTAGACTACTGTTGTCGTAAAAAGCGACTGTAATTCACAAACGACGCAAACGGAACAGCCTTTGGAGTTGTGTATGACAAAAAAGATATATTATGATTGTGAAATTACACTTTTAGCCTTCAAATTAACACCAAGATAAAAAAGGACTATTTGTGGAAAGTTATCCATAAAAGAAGGACCACTTAGGTAATATTTAATAATAGAGGACTAAATAGGAAAACCCCCTATTATAAAGGACCAATTATAGAATTTACTCTTATCAATTTTAAGAAAAAGTAGGGATTATTTAAAAGATGAAAGATGTATTATTAAAATTTATTTAAATAATAGAAATTATAAATATGATATATCTATATCAAAAATGAAAAAAATAAAGGAATGTAAATTTGTATTTGAATATCTAAAAGAAATACCAATAACTTTATTCAATTTAGTATAGGTGCAGTGGATTAATCTTTTTGAGCGGATAATGATGGAGATGATTCTTTAGGATCCAATCACCTCTCTCTCACGCCTCTTTTTTATTTAGTCTTAATTCTTTACGTCGGTCTTAATCCTTTCTTTTATAGTCTCTCAGTCTTGCAAAACAATTTTATGTTTTACATTTGACAAATTTAAGCAGTGTATATTTTAAAATTAATTTTGCAAAACTCTTCTTTGTTGTCATACGTAAAAATATGGGGAGAAAGATCAAATTAAGACTAAAACATTGAAAATATACCAAAATAGAACTTCCATGTTTTTATTCCCGAAATAGGACTTACATTACCAAACATGGTCATATACTGATTTACATTACCAAAAAAGTATAGTAATGTGCACATGTACGCTGCCACATTATCACAGTGTAAAGTCACATTACCACAGTACAAAGTCATATTTCGGGGAAAAAACATGAAAGTCCTATTTTGGTACTTTTCTCTAAGTTTTAGTCCTATTTAGAGTGATTTCTAAAATATGAAGTGATGCATAGATTAATAATAAATAGATCCGATGTTATAAGTTAGGTAAGAGCTTTTTTTAAGGTTGGGTAAGAGTTAATATGAGTAAAATAAACTTTAATAAAAGTAGAAGTATTTTATGGTAGGCAAATTCATATTTGGTCTTAACATTGATACTTATTTTATTAACCTTAATACATAAACGTACACCATGAGACCATGTGTAGTGGGACCCGCTTGACCTACCGGCATGATGGAGGCGTTGTGCCCCTCCACGTTGTGACTACCACGTCACCGACGGCGTAACGATGTGGGCTTGATGGTGGTCAATGGCGTTGCCCCTTTTTTAATCTCAAATCAATCAAAATTTAACATATCTCAATTTCAACCAACCATAATAGTTCATTTCTTCGCACTTCATCATCTCCTTTCACACCCACCACAACACACATATTTTTATCACTCTACGTCATGCGTCCTTACACTTCGTCAAGCTCTGCTTAGCCTCTATCGCATCCTTCGTTTGCTCCGAACCTTTAAAAAAGTATAAAACGAAATTTTTTTTAATGACACGATTAAATATAATTTTATATAAATAAAAACATAAATATATTAGAAAATATATAATTTTTACCAATGATAGGATGCTCGGAGACGTCAACCCAAGCCGATGCCAATAAGCACTCCTCCTCCGGCGTCCACTTTTGGATTGACCGTGCCGCCTCAGTCACCGTGCCTTTTGCTTTGTGGCTTTTCCGGCGTGTACTTTTTTTGGAGCCGGATGGTTCCGGTTGAGTCTCCGGAACCGAATCTCGCTCGACGTACCCCGATTGTTGCGTCTCGAAGATCGGTGGATGATCCCCGAATTCTTGGAAATACCACATCGCGGCATCGTGAGGCGCGAGATTGTCGAGAAAGAAGCCGGAGCCGGAAGGATTCATGTTCAAAAGAGAGGGGAGAGTTTGAAATTGAAGAATGTGTGAAGAAGATTGAAGGTGTGAGAATGGGAGGGGGGGAGTTTGAAATTTATAAAAAAATAAATTATTTTTTTGGTTTACAACGGCTAAATTAGCCATTAGGGGGGAGGGGGATTGCGTCAAACGAGTGACTCTGATTAACTCACGCCCGTATCACGCCAATGTGGGGCGGTGTTTAACACCCCCCGGCATTAAAACCGCCTATCACGCTAGTGGGCGTGAGCGGTATTACCAGTGCCCTAAGTGGATGGACTGATCTTTTTTAGCAGATTATGATTGAGATGATTCTTTAGAATGCTGGCTGCATCACCAAATTACTCTCGAGTACCAACGAGTTTGTGTTAAAATCTTTTTGGTCCTACATTAGTTAAAACTTTGGTAGGTGAACATGTTTGCCTAGTTTACAGTTTGTTGAAAATAGTAGGAGTTTATAGTGGGGAAAAAAGAAGTGAATAATCCGAACTTATAATTCGTTCGAATTTTACAACAGGAAAACAAAAAAACATAATAAAGTAGAAGATCACCGGAGGTCGAAAGCCGAACAGAAGAAGAAAGGAAAGAGGAGTCGCCGGAGCTTTCCTTAAGGTAGTATCGCCCGCCTCCCGCACTGGCCAAAGTGGACGATCTCCTCCCAGATAAAACCGCTAACGTGCAAGGTCTAGAGCGGTAAAGCCGTGCACCGACGAACGAGAACGACCAGAGAGTTAATTGCAGGAAAAGTTATCGGAAAAACAAGTGAAAGTTGGAATGCAAAGAGAAAATTTTCGAGTTGGTGTTCTTCTACTACAAATCGCCTCTCCTTTTATAGGAGAGGCTTTGGCTGTTCGGATGGGCTGTCGTTAAACACAAGGAGTCTATGGAGACTTTTCACACTGCATGCATGCTTCGTTATCAACGACCCATTCCTCTCATGTTTAATTAAGTCTTGTAAAAAGATAGAAATTAGCCCACGCCCTCGCCACGTCACGATACGTCGCGCCCGCGCTCCCGCCACGTCACAACGCATCGCGCCCATGCACGCACACGCCACACATGTTCGCGCGCACAGGCATGTGTGTGTGCCAAGCAAAGCCAGACGGATGGCGATGGCAGCGGTGCGCGACTGCGCGAGGGATCCCTTTCTTCCTCCTTCTCAAATTTCTTTTAGCATTCAATTCAATGCTAGCATATAAATGGTGGAATATGGGTTTCCTCCTTCCAAGTATCCAATTTCGTGAATTAATTTCTTATTCAACCGAGCACCATTTTTGGCGCACAATACGTCGAAACACTCGTCTCACTTAGGAGATTATTTGTCCATAATTATTTTAGAAAAATAATTTTATGGACCCCACCAAATTTAAGTCCGAAATAGACCCATTATAAGCCAAAAAATCCTACACAATTTACACGCATGACACAACTAACTTGACTAGCTCTTATGGGACTTAAAAGGGAAAATATTTCTAGACACTATGGAGAATTGTCGGGCTAGAGTGACCAAGTGTTTGAGGCCAAGTGGAGAGATGGGGGTGGCAAGGTTGGTGTAGGCCATTTGACGGCCCGGGGTTAATGGATTGAGTTTCCCATCACTAGAGGAATGGCGAATCACAGCTCATGTTTGATTATCCTTCACAAGAAAACCATTAGAGTTAAATTTAATAGAACAATTATTATCACGAGTGAATTGATAGGCAAAAATAAGATAGCAGACAATATGAGGGAAGATGAGGATACTATGTAGGGAATGGGGAGGGGTGGTGTTATGTTGACAAGAATCAATAGAAGTAGTCCGTACTTTAGATCCATTACCTACAATACTATGAGAGGGGGAATAAATATGAGGGTTAAAAATATGAGATAAAATACCTAGCAGGTTAGAATTGATGTGAGGCTCCAGTATCCATGTATTATGTTTGGGAAGGTTCATGGAGGCTCATGGTGTCAAATGTGTGAGCAAGAGCTGTGGGGGTATCGTTGGAGGGGTTATGTGGGGGGATGTCTGGTAGGATGGGGTGTGGGGTGGTTGGTACCCATTCGGGTACTGGTAGAATGGGAAGATGTTGTGCGTGTAGGTAGAGGCGTAGGCTTGAGCTAGGTGTGCTTGAGCAAGGTAGTGAGGATAGGGGCGTGGGTCAAGAAGACCTGGGGTGGAGGAGGGGAACTACAAGAGGGTAAGCACGCTGCCTAGGACACGAACCACCATGAACATGACCACAGCTACAACGGGTAAGCAGGCCGCCACCTCTGCCAGCCCGCCACGACAGTGATTGTTCGACCCACTGCCTTATAGCCGCTTTTTTGTTCTCAGGCGCACAAGCTTAGGTGTTCTCCGTTGGTACTGCGCACGCTAGCGGGCTGATTAGGTTGTTTTTTGGCATCGAAGAGGACCGTGGAGGAACGTATTTGCACCGTGTTAGAAACTACGCTTGGATTGGGCAGCAGAAAATAAATTTTTTTACCAAACATCATTTCAGCAAAGATCCCTTACAAAAATTATAAACTATTGTTAGAAGTGTACCTTTCTTGACAAACAAACAATGTTGTGTGGTTGAAGAGTGATAAGTCTTTTTCATTCTTATCTTTTACTTCATATTCTAAACATTATTGCACGTAAATAGTACTTATTCATTTCATAAAATGTGTTTTCAATGAATAAAACTCTAGTTTTCGTTTTAAGAGTCATAAAAAGGGATTCCACTATGCAGTAGATTTTATCTATTGAACATAGCCAGATTGAAAACTCCAATTAATAAAAATTGGGTGAGAGCTAATTAAATATTAATTAGGTGACACTTTGTTTTGAAAATCTTAGCTATTAACGTACTCAAGATCTTTAAACTGTCAATTTGAAATTAGATTTTAGGTGGCCAACCCAAATTTGTCTAATCCAAGCCTAAACAAAATCTAAAATCTGTTTTCAAACACCTCTTTGAATTTAAACCAACCATAGCACAAAGGCTTAAAACAACTTCAAAGCCAAATTACTCAACAAGAACTCTTGAACCAAAAATTCAACCTCTAGTATGAGAAGTTTCAATAATTTTAGAGGCCAATTAACCAAAAATATAGATTTGAACGATAAGAATCAACATACATAATAAAAACACATAGACAACTTAAACCATCATTCGTAGGAACAAATTGAACCAAAAACAATGGAATTTAAAGAGAATTTGATTTGTCCAAATTAAACCTACTGCCATTTAGAATGGCAAAGCAATTTAAGCTAACAAATCAACTCTTCCGTGGACAACTAGTGTCGAATTGACACACTGAAAAAACAGAGTGAATTTAATGCATAGAGGAAGAATTAGGGGGACTGGACCGAAGTATAGACCCCCGTAGGACCATACCCTCTCTGGTTTCTTCCCCGCTGCTATCTGCGTGTCTTCTCCGCGTCCTCTCGCTGCTGCCTGCTGCGTTTATAGCGGCTGGAAATCAGACCTTCGTCTAGGATTAGGGCTCCAAATCTGAGTCAAAGTCTCCTGCGCTGCTGCGTTTCCTTTGGTAGATTTGGAGGGGGAGTCTTTGCCGCAGGTGTACACGAAGGTGGAGTCTCCAATTCAAAGTCGGAATCCCCTTCCTTCGCTGCACATAATCCGCTGGGCTCTTGAGAAGTGAGACAGCTGTTTTGATTTAAATCTTGGCAGCCCCATGGTTTTTTTCCTCTTTTAAAACCATTGGGTCAAATTCCAACCAATTTGGCCCAATACTCTTGATCCTTCTTTCCTCTCTTGGCAAGTTTGACATCCTTCACATATACTCCGTAATTAGTAATACCAAGTATCTAGAGAACTCGTGTCAAAGAAATCAAGGCATTAAAAACAATAAAGTAAAAAAAAACAATGCATTTTATGATTAAAATATTAATAATGTCCAATATTGCTATATAAATGTAATAGTGATTAAATGTGTATAAAATAAATCTGGAATATATTAAAAAGGGCTAATATGAGAGAATAAAATATAACATTTGAGGATTTATCAATGAATGTCGCTGTTGTGGGTGTTGACCTTCAAAAAAGAAAAGTTTTAGCCTTTAATTCTTTCAAACGGTCATCACCAACATCGTTATTGGAGAAGTCAACATCGATGTTGAACTCCATTCTGCCACAGTTAGTTTTGAATCCAGAGTCTTAACACTGATGTACAAATATTTACATCGATGTTTAGGTTGGTTCTAGAATTTTGCTTATAAGCGTAACATCGATGTTCAACAATCTACATCGATGCTGAAGACCCCCTATCACACCAATGGTCTTCACTATCAACGCCAACATCGATGTTGGCTATCCAACATCGCTATTAGGCTGGCTAGCCAGAACCATGGCTTAGCCGGTCAATATCGTAAGCCAGGGTCAAACACCAAAGTTCTCCAAAATAAAAACAAGTCTTGGAAACACAAATTTTATGCATTTTAGTAAAAAACCAAGTTTTAAGTCTTAAAATCAGGCCGTTAAGGTGAAAACCATGGCAAGCCAAGTTTATGTCATTTTATGTAGTTTTTGCCAAAAGACTAAAACCGAAAGGTGGTTTTTAACATGTTTTTTGTTGGAGAAATATTTAGATATGCCCAGGAATAAAAACCAATCATAAAATCTTAAAAACTACTTGGTTGATTCGGACGCCAAAACCCACACTGATAACCAGTAGCCGAACGCCGGTCTCAGGAACCCGAACGCAATTTCTAAAATCCAAACACCGAAGGACTTGGTTATCGGTTTGAGCAAACTCCAAGTGTTTTTGGACTATTGAAAACATTATGAAAATGATTTTAATGATGCATGAAAATGTTTTTAATGAAATTAGCTTAGAGAGCCAAGTTATGAAGTCGAGGTTAGTCTTGATCATAATTTAGACCGACTCAACTATTCTAAGTCATAGTCTTCGTTCTAGGTTCTCATTCCACTTAATTCTTGGATTTCTTTGCCAATGCCAATTAAGATCCTCTCCTTGTGTGTTCAAAGTCTTCGCATGTTTGCGGCGATTTGACATTATAAAAACTTGTCACAAATGAACACGACTTTAGTACGACATAAGTGTAAACGCGTGGTCCAATAGAATCGCTCTAAACCACTGGACGATGTAAATGAGGGAGAGATTGGCGCCTAATAATGAGTAGGTCGACGAGCAACGTGTCATAGGATTGTTTCCTTATGTAGATGTTTATTGGTGCTAGGCCCACACCCGAGAAAAGGTTTGTTACCTTAATTAACTTCCTCCAACCAATATAAATAGATTATAAGAGGTAGAGGCGGGACTTTCGATCATTGATACACATACTTGTACACTCTTGAGACAAATTAAGAAATATATGTTCACACAGAAAATCATTCCTAGTCTAGGCCATTCTCGTGTTTTTACTCTCTACTATGTTTGGCTTACCTGACAGAGTCTGTTTTGAAAAGAGGTCATGCCTAGTCAAACCTACTCCGTCAAATTTACACCATTATTTAACGCCTACCATGGGACTCGTCTTGTGAAAAACTCAACCGGTCACCTTTTCTTACCCCACGAAATATCCACAATGACGTCTCGCAGCACTCATCCAATCATTTGTAGTCCGATCGTATCGAAATCCAACACTCCTACCACTCTAGTAACAATGATGAGTGTAGGGGCGACTTTTGCTCCGGTCACCTCTGTGGGATCCCCGGGGATGATGCCAATCATGTCAACTCCCACTCCGATGCCCAGTACAACCATTATGTTTCCAAGCTCACTACCCATGTCAGGGGGTGACGCCGCCTATGCAGATTCTGCTAAGTTTAGATCAATTTACAGCAGATCCGGCTAATGCTTACGCCCTGCAACTCCTGCAAGGCCATCATCAGGTGATGGCCTTGATGCAACAGGCTAGGGGCTGTATGCCATTCACCTACCCTAGTATGCTCCCGCCAGGGATGAGGCCCATTCCAATTCGAGGGACAAGCCCGTCAATCTTCATACAAAGGATGGTAAATCCTATGCATCCTATGAGCTTCGCTACCGCCATAGACAGGGTTGGACCTTTAAATATCTCGAACACTTCCAGGGGCCACGATGTTGCACATCTAGAGGAAAGGGAAGGCCATTGCGAATTTGATCAAGAGTCAAGATTTAGCATTCAAACATCTAGAAAATAAGGAGGATGGACCCTACAAGTAGGCCAAGCTACGTCTTGGACCTGAAATGGCCCAAGCTAACGCCTTTGATCGACTTAGTATGGGAAGGGATCGACTAAGTAGCTAGGCCAAGCTACAAGTAATTTTAAGTATAAGAAAAAAACTTAAAAAAACTATATTACAAAACTATATAGAAACTAATATTTAAAAAAAATAAAATGTAACCGGTCCACCGGTCCGAACCGAAACCCGATGGACCGGACCGGAACCCGAATAAGGAAAATGTGAGGATCGAAGACCGGACCGAATAAGGACCGGTCTGGACTAGTCCAGTGCGGTCCGGTTTTGGCCGGATTTCGGGTCGGTCCGGGTTCGGACCGAATAATGCACACCCCTAGCTCATACTCTATTTAATTTCTTTAAATGTTTTAGTTAATTCTATAGAAGTTCTTTATTAAATACAAAAAAAATGAATTATTAATTGGAAACAAATAAACACAAAAATAATGTGGACAACCAAATCGGGGCTGAAAGAGCATAGTAATTGTAAATTTTGCCATGTTTGAGTTCCAGATAATAGTTGCTAGATATTCACCCGAAATTTAACTTTCCCTCAAACAAGCTTACATATTCACAAAATTTAAATATATAAATATATAATCATGTAGTTGAAATTTCTATTCAAGAAAAAAACATATGAATTACGCACTTATTCTTTTGGAAAGAAGAGTAGTAATTCCGTGCACCCAAGGTCCATGTCTAATCCTTGAATCCTCTCACAAAAGTTATTAGACTTAAAAATTAAGAGTAAATTTCATAATTGGTCCTTTATAACAAGGGTGTTTCGATATTTAGTCCTCTATTATCAAATATTACCCCGTAGTCTTTTTTTAAGGGTGCCTTTCCACAAATGATCCTTTTTTGATCTTCTAGCATGTTGATATTTTTTAAAGGCTAAAAGTATAATTTGACATCAACATTATGTTTAGTGACATATTTTGATATTGGTTAAGTGGATAACACAAAAATAATGACTATGATTGTGGGCTAGGATTCCGACGAAAGACCACATTTGTAGACTATGGTTGTAGTAGAAAGCGACTGTAATTCACAAATGATGGAAACAGAATAGCCTTTGAAATTGTGTATGACAAAAAAAAAATATATTATCATTGCGAAATTACACTTTTAGCCCTCAAATTAATACCAATATAATAGAAGATAAAAAAAGGACTATTTGTGAAAAGATACCAATAAAAGAAGGATCACTAGTGTAATATCTAATAATAGAAGATTAAATAGGGAAACCCCCCTGTTATAAAGGACCAATTATGAAATTTACTCAAAAATTAATGTAGAAAAAGGCTCACTCCATCCAAACTAATGTGTCTAATGTTAATTCTTAATCCCCTAATCGAAATCATAATCTCCTAATCTTAATAAAATAGTTCTAATTTTAATCCTTAATCATAATCATAATCTTATTCATAATCCCCTAATTGTAATCATAATCCTAATCCCTAATCACTAATCCTAATCTTAGTCCTAATTTAAATCCCTAATCCTAATCTTAATCTTATAATCCTAATTCTAATCTTAATCCTAGTCCTAATCCTAATCCTAATATTAATACTAATACTAATACTAATATTAAAACGAATACTAATATTAAGGAGTCCAAATCAACAAAATCCATATAATTTGAATGGATTTGAAGACCATGGAAGTATTTGCCTGGAAGAAAAGAAATGTACTCCCTTCATTCTCAAAAAGAGTTCATATTTTGACCAAGTGTAAAAATAAGGAAGTGTAAAATTGTACTCCCTCTGTCCCAAATTATTTGTCACATTAGCTTTTTCAACAGTTGCGGGAACTTTTGTTTATTTCTACGTTTTCATTGGTTATTTGATAAAATAAAATATTCTTGACACCTCTTATTTCGAAGAACTTTTCATGTAGTTTTTTGATATGTAATTTTTATTTTTTATTTCTTTACCAATATGTAAATAAAATGAATTGAAAAAAATTGATATTTTGTCTCGGTAATAGAAATATGACAAATAATTTGGGACGGAGGGAGTAGTTGACTTTCAATTATGTCATTGATGTGATAGGTAAAAGTAAGATGGCTGAATAGATTGTTAGAGAAAAAGTATGATGTGATAGGTAGGATATGAAATTAAGAGTAAAAATGGTTTTTAATATAAAGTAGAAATATTTTGTTGGAAGTGAAAAAAATGAAAGAAAAAATATTTTTGAGAACGATGTTTTTTTTTGAAATGTTGTTTAAAGAAAGTGGAAATTTAATAAAGCTCTTGGATCAAATAAGGTCACAAGAAGAAAGGAACATGCTTTGGCGTATAGTGGAGTCCCGTGATATGGATGAAAGTGAGGTTTCATCATATTCTTCTGCCGTGTTGGACGCAAATATCCTCTAGGCTCTATCCTCACCTTTAAACAAAAGCTCACCGGTGGTCCACACCTTCTACGGGTCAATGGAAACTGCATGGCATAATGACCAGTGACCACCCAAAGTTCTGCATTATTAATAGACTTTTGTGGCCACAGAGAGGACCACTTCCCATTCTCCATGCCACTCCAAAGAAAAAGATTGCTTAACTTTTCCAACATGTACATGTTCAAATCTAGAAATGTGCTCCCTCCCTCTCAAAATATTTTTCCAACTTTGATATTTTGTGGTCAATCGTAATCGGCATCTGACGTATAATTAAATAAAAATTTTATGATATAATAATTAGATAAAACAATACTTTAAAAATAGTTTACAAGAAAAATCTAATAAAATTATTCTTGTATCAATATCTAATACAAATATTATTAAATTAGTGGTCAAAGTTCTTCAACTTTGACTAAACAAATTTCAAAACCAGACATAAAATATGGGACAGAAGTGAAACATATATGGGTGATTCTAGTTTAATCAACCTATTTTGGATAATCAGATTTACTTAAATCCAGACAAGAAATCGTAATAAATCATGATAAGAGTTTTAAAAAAATGGAGTTCAAATTCGTTCGATAATATCATGATTTCAAGTCATTACAAGCGCGGGCCCAGAGGCAACAACCCCTCGTATTGGGATCTAAGGGACAACAACCCCTAGTGGGGTTATATGCTAGTCAGCTCAGAAAATCAAATATAACTACCAACAATTTTTCACATACCCAACGTTGGAAGTCTTCGATCACTTCATTATGTTTTCAAACACTAAATGTCCAAAACTGTTAATGAACATTTCGTGACCCTTAAACAATCGAGTGCTCCTTTGAGTGTTTGAACACTAATTTGCATGTACCGATTCTAACAGGTTTGGGACATCAAGGTAGTATATGAATACTTCGCAAAGAAATGATAACGACAAAATTTAACAGGTTACAGCTGAAATACTAGGAGGAAGAAAGGAAGGTGAAATACTATAAAGTTACAAGTGAAATACTAAGTCACAAGTGATTACAACAAGATTTCACAGGTCACTGGTGAAATACATCGAATACATTTTTTTGGTATTTGATTGGTCAAATTAACAAAACATTCAATCTCAACAACTAAATGGGCAAAATGTACCTTCGGTGTACATTACCACAAATTTTAAGCACCCTAAAGAATATTTCAAACAATATTAGACCTACGAGCTTTTAGTAGAAAAAGTGAGCTACCTTACATAATTTTTTGCTAGGTCATGAAAATGCATTTTCCATCCTAAATCCAAAATCACTGGATGTAACCTGAAATATATGGAACTCAGAATATTTAATTTTTACCCTAATCTTATTAAGAAGAATACTGCCACATCTTGTTTTGTAGAATTTTTTATGTGATTTTTTTGTAGAATCTTCGAGATAATCTTAGAAGAATAACGTACTTCTCCATCCCAAAATAATTTACACTATTACTATCAGAGCTTCTCAATAACTTTTGTTTACTCCTACATTTTAATTAGTCGTTTGATAAAATAAAATATTTCTTGTTGCATCTTGTTTTGTAGAATTTTTTGTGATTTTTAAGAAGGTAATTTTTCCTTTATATTTCTATATGAAATCATAGATAAAATTATTTCCAAAAAGATAGAATTTTATACATTGATTGAAAAATTAAATGAATTTGGGATCGGACAGAGGAAGTATGTAAGAGTGAAGAGGACTCGCTTCAAATAAAAATACTTCGTATAATGCTTAACCATCTAGACACTCCTAGAGAACTAGACGTGTATCTCACGACCATAATGGGTACAATTATGAGAACAAATTAAGATTTGGTGGAAACTTGTGTATGACACTTTTGTTTTGCAAAAACTAGAGTAGTTCAAAGAAGGTATTCCCTCCGTCCCAAATTATTTGCCACATTTGTATTCCCGAGGTAAAATATCAAGTTTTTTCAAATCATTTTATTTACATATTGGTATAGAAATAAAAAATAAAATTTACATATAAAAAAACTACATGAAAAGTTTTTCAAAATAAGAGGTGTGGAGAATATTTTATTTTATCAAATAACCAATAAAAACATTGAAATAAACAAAAGTTCCCGCGACTGCTGAAAAAGCAAATGTTGTGAATATTTAGGGACGGAGGGAGTATGTTTTACTAGCGACATGTTCAAAAATCAAAAGGGGAAGACACCTACTTGTTTACATGTTTCAATCATGGGAAAATAGAGTCCAAGACTTGACCCTGCCACATGCTGAAATGGTCAGTACCTCAACTATTTTCACCACTAATTTCAGGCTGCACAAGAACCTCAAAAATGATGACAAGGAGTCTAATGTCGATGTGGTCATATTTGAAAGAAGCCAAATTGTATGGTAGATCTAAGACCTGCTATGGACCTACATATGAGCAAAGTTAATATTTCTTTACTAATTAAATAAGCATTTCTTTTTTCAAATAAAAAAAATTTAAGTGAGAAGGTCCATACAATTGATATGCACCAAAGAAGCACTCTTGAAACAAATATCAACTGTTTCTCGATCTTTGGTTGCCATTAAAGTTTTATCACACCGGTTCCCTTGACATTGCTAAGCAATGTCATGGGATGACTCGGGGGCCGTGCGATGCTGCGTTCATAAAATTGATGGTTCCTACTCCTATCTCCCAGTAAACCCCCCATCCCGCCCCAAACCCCACCTCCCCACCCCCTTCAACTGCACCCCCCAAGTTTAATTGACTTTGGAGTCAAAATTTTGACTTCAAAGTCAATTAAACTTGGGGGTGCAGTTGAAGGGGGTGGGGAGGTGGGGTTCGGGGCAGGATGGGGGGTTTACCGGGAGGATAAGAGGAGTAGAAACCATCAATTTTATGAACGGAGCATCGCACGGCCCCCGAGTCATCCCATGACATTACTTAGCAATGTCATGCAAACCACCCCCAAGTTTTATTATATACTACATCTATCCAATGTATTTGTATGTCAATTAATATAATCACGTAAATTTGAAAAAATATGATTTCATTAGATTTATATTATTAAAAACTTTTAAAAAAGTATTTCTTGTTAGTATATACTCCGTAATACAAATTGAGAAACTCTGATAACTAAAATTCATTTAGGTTGACTAAAAAAAGTGAAAGTAGATGAATACAGAGAAACAGAGAGGAGGTAGTCTTCATTATTACAAAGTATAATAATAGGGAGTAACAAACACAACAGCACAACTTTCAACTTTTATAGCACTTGTTTGAAAAAGCACACAATTTTTCACTTGTAAGAAAACCAAATTCAAATAAAAAAGAACTTATCTTTGTCCATGTATGCTTAAAAGGTTGTATATCATGTATCTTGATGTACAATATTAAAAGGTTGTATATCATGCATCTTGATGTACAATACTATTGTACATCCATCATATGTACAATCACATCATAAAAATAATGTATTACTTGAAAATGTTAGTATCATTTCTAAGCACGCTTTTTACTTTGTTGCTAAGCAAGCAAAAAAAAGTAAATCATATCACTTCATTTTTTTAATAGTATATCACTTCATTAATTTAAGACACTCTCACATAGCAAAAATGTATTGCACAACACTAAAAACTACTCCCTCCGTCCCACAAAAAAGTTCTCATTTTGATGTATTTTTGGTCAAATAATTACACGCTTTGACCATAAATTAAATATAATCTAAATAAAGAAATGCTAAAAAAAATTTGAGATATCAAAACTAGATCCTAAGATGAATCCAATTATATTAAATTTATTATATAATTCAATATACCTTTCTCACAATTTGTAGTCAAAGCGTGTAAATAATTGACTAAATACTATTCAAAATGAGACTTTTTTTGTGGGACGGAGGAAGTATTTATACTTCATAATCGTTAATATATTATTTTATTAATACTAAAAGAAATATAATTATAGAATATTACAAAATTTTTAAGAAAAATATATAATAAATTAACTCATTTAACATTTCAATATTTTACATTGACTCTATAATGGTTGCTTAATTTTTTGGGGGGCAAAATAAATATATTTTTATATAAATCGCGACACTACTTAAACTTTTTATTATTTTATTGACATTAATAAAATAATAATAATAATAATAAAATTAAGAGTAAAAGTAATAATAATAGTAATTATAATATAAATAATAATTTAGAGTTAATATTAATATTAAGATTAATTTTCATATTAATATTAATATTAAAAGACTAGAATAAAATAGAAAAACAGGAAGTAGTTAGAATAAACTGCAAGAAGTTAGAAAAAGCTGCATGTTAACTTTTGTAACCCAAAAACATGGACCTTAAAAAGAAAATAGCATTACAACCATAGTTTTTAGAACCGGACCGGGGACCGAACCGGTCAAGGTACTGGTTCACTGGTCGGACCGGTGTTTCAAATGGTCGAACCAGTGGTTTACGCACATTTGAAAATTATATATATATATATATATATATATATATATATATATATATATATATATATATATATATATATATATATATATATAGACACACATACATCATACATACATAAAAAATAATATTTAATGAAATAATATTTCCTTTATCTATAAATAAAGAATTTATGATGTATTACTAAATTTATAAGCAATTTAATTATTTGAGCAGTAGCATTAAATTGAAACAAATGTGTATTTAAACAAATAAAAAATTATAAAAGAAGATGTGATATTTATTGTTTTATAATTTACACAATTTTTTTAAAAAATATTGAAATAAGTGGCATGAATAGTTTTGTGATATAAAGTTTATATTAGAATCAATTGCTTCAATATTTTAGACACACGCACTTCTTCATTTATAAATAACTAAAGAAAGTAATTTAGAACATTTGACTAAAATTATATTAATACACTTGAGTTATTTTACTAAGTTAAAAAATAAAATTTACGTATTTAAAAAACAATATTAAAAACCTTATAAGTGTAGACATAATTTTATTTTTTTCAAATAAGTTGTCTAATATTTAAAAACACTCGAATGATATATTTGCATGATATGCATCTTGTAATACTATCAATTATATCAATTATATTTTTAAAAATAAAAAGAAATCTTTACACAAATTTTTTTTAATGATGAAATATTTTAAAAATTAAGTGAACGTGTAACAAAAATCATCATAGCTTAGATGGTAGGAACTTAACTATAATTGTCTAAAAGATCTTGAGTTCAAGCCCCCATGGTGTATGTTTTTGGAGAAAAAT